GGCCCCTCCGTGTCTCCCAAGCACAGATGTGGATGGATCTGTGCAGGGCAGGAGTTGCTAGGGACAAGATAGATGGGCAGCCAAATGCTGTAATGGTGAGCCTGTGGGAGGCTTTAAGACCAGACCAGCAATTCACCACAGAAGTAAGAAAAACGGGACCAGGAGGTGTGGATAATTCCAACCGAGCCCCCTGCTTCAGAGGAAGGCAGTCTCATTGGATTGGATGCCCCACCACCACCACTGCCTTGATGGGGTGGCCAAGGTTGCCCAGGTGAGGACTAGGTGACTGGAGGCCACATGCTGAGTTGAGGATTTATGGGTACCCCACTAATATACAAACACATGGGCTCTAGTGGATACTTGGGCAGAGGGTGCATTAATTCACAGCAATCCCCAAAAACATCAGGGCTAGTGGGTAGCAGTGGATGGGTATGGGGATAAAATCACATGAGTAAAGCGGACTAGACTCATTCTGGGAGTGGGCAATTTCCTTCCCCCTCCAGGAGTACAAGTTGTGTAGCTTTCCATTTCGGAGAACATTTTAGGGAAGGATGTCCTGCTGGGTCACACCCTACATACTACTGCGAGACAGTTTTGGCTTAGGGTGCAAACAGTAAAGGCAATTACTCGGGGGTGGGCAATATGGGAGCCAGTCAAATTGCCCACCCCATGGAAGGTGGTGAATATCAAATAGCACTGGGTGCCTGGGGGTCAAGATGAAATTACCAAAACCATCAAGGAATTAGAGCAGGTAGAGGTTTTCTTCCCATCCCAGAGCCCTTTCAATAGCCCTGTTTGGCCTATCACGAAACCAGATGGCTCCTGGAGAATGACTGTAGATTACCAGGAGTTAAATAAGGTGGTACCTCCCATTCATGCAGTGGTGTCCAACATTGCACTACTAACTGATCAGCTGGTGCAGGAAATGGGGTCCTTCCATGCTGCAGTGGATCTTGCTAATGCATTCTTCAGTATTCCCCTAGCTCCTGAATCCCAAGATTAATTTGCATTCAAGTGCAATGGATGACAATAGACTTTAAGAGCACTTTCCCAAGGTTACCTCCACAGCCCCACGTTTTGTCATGGGATGGTGGCCAGGGACCTGGCCCTCTTACCCTGCCCTCCTTCTGTAAGGAGGTTCCACTACATAGATGACATAATGCGAAAGTCTGAGTGCCTTACAGATTTGGAATCTCATTTGGGAAACATGCAAGTGCACCTGAAGGAGTAAAGATGGGAAATCAACCCACAGAAGGTACAAGGGCCCGGTAAAGCGGTAAAATTCTTAGGAGTTTTATGGTCAGGTAGAACTCACATGATACCCACTGCGGCAGATGAGAAAATCTTACAACAATGCGTTCCAATATATGCTAAGTAGTTGCAGGTATTTTGGGGACTTCTAGGGTATTGGCGAATTTTTATGCCTCACCTTGCTCAGGTTACCCATCCCCTGTGTAATCTAATATAAAGAGGTGCTATATGGGGTCAGGATGTAAAGGCCCAAGAGGCTTTTGAGCAGGCCAAGGTACTGGTTGGGCAAGCTAAACAGCTGTCTGCCCCTAGACCTCGGTGTCCCTTCCTCTTGGAAGTCATCAGGAGCCCTGAGGGTTATGGGTGGGGTTTGTGGCCACAACAAACTGAATAGAGGGTCCCAATTAGTTTATTTTCCCAATCAAGGAAAGGGCCAGAGTCCCAAAACACAACTCGAAAACAGCAACTGATGGCTGTGTACAAAGCATTGCAACAGGTGGAATCCAATACTGGCCCTACCCTCATTACTGTAAAAACCACATATTCAAATAAAAGGATGAGCAGAGGCCCCGTTATCCAAGCCCCTGTCAGGGGTTGCCCCAAACCAAATGCTGCAAAGATGGCATGCATATTTGCAACAGCAAGGGGTGGTATCAGCCAGCCCGTCATCAATGCCATGCAAGCAGTACTCGGACCAGTGTCGTTTCAAGTCACAGAGTCTCTCCCTCCAGCTCTTATATTTGACCCTCCAGCAAGACCTGACCGAGTGCTAGGAGGGGTTCCTCCAATTTCATCTGATGTCTGGTATACTGATGGCACTAGCAGGGGTGCCAGACAAGAATAGGTAGCAGTGGCAATACATATGAACACTGACACTATATGGTTAGAGAGGGAAGAAGGAGAAAGCAGTCAATGGGCTGAATTGAGAGCTGTGTGAATAGTAATAGTAAGGGAGCCTTACCCAGCTAAAATTTGTACTGAGACTTGGGCTGTGTTCGAAGTTTTAACTTATGGATGGCTCAGTGGGAGAAAGAAAACTGGCAGGTGATGGGATGCCACTACGGAGACAACAAATGTGGAATGACATATAATAAAATAAAGGAGGAGCTAGTGACCCTGGTAGTTTACCATGTGGCTGCCCACTGCCTGGTGAGTCTCTCCGGGAATGAGGAAGCTGATGCCTTCACCAAGGTGAGGGCTGTCTGCCCTCAGGTTCCCCTAGAAGCAGCTCACTGGATTCATATCAAGTCAGGGCACAGAAGAGCCAACACGGTATTTAGAATAGCCAAAACAGCTGGCATTCCTGTAAAATATGCTGACATCCAACAGGCTCTCCAGGCCTGTGAGACATGTTCCCGGTTTTAGCCCATGAGGATGGATGCCATCATGGCACATGTACACAAGGCAACTTCTCCTGTGAGAGACTGGCAAGTAGATTATGTAGGGCCCCTGCCAGTCAGCGAGAGTTGTAAATATGCTCTCGTTTGTGTGAACACTTACACAGGCCTTACACAGGCCTTTCCTTGCAAGAGAGTGATGGGCAAGGCTACTATCAAGGGGTTTACTGATCTCAGTGTCATGTTTGGGTGCCAAAGGCAAATTGATAGGGACAGAGGCACTCATTTCACAGGTACACATATGCAAGCTTGGGCTAAGGATAATAAGGTTCAATGGTATTTCCACCTTCCATACAATCCTACAGGAAGGGTTAATTGAAAGAAAAAAACGGGTTGCTAAGGAGCAGTTGAAAACCTTAAGTCCAGAAGGAGTGCACCAGGGGTGGAAAAAGGCCCTTCCAGAACCCATAAGATTGTTAAATGAAAATCCCAGTAACAGGGGTTGGTTGTCTCCCTATGAGCAGTTGGCCAAAGGGACCTCAGAGTTCCCCAAAACTATAAAGGCAATTGTCAAGAATGTTGGTTGTACACCTGAAGTGGATGGTGTACAGATGCTATTGATGAAGACGCTGCATGATGTGAGCATGGGAGAGAGAGAATTCAAGCTTGGACTAAGCTGGAAACTCCCTGGCACTGGATGGGTGGCTTTCCTAGTGCCAGAAGGTGCTCTGCAGACGGCTGGGGGAGAATTGTCGCCCATTATCCTGTTCAATGAAGAACACTATGTGCTGCACTATCAATATGAGAAGTAAGATGTTCCTGCTGGTGCAAAGTGGCTTGATTAGTGTATGTACAACCAGCTAATTATCAACTGGACCTAATGCCCATCCCTAGGGTTGGAACACACATCTGGTATTGTAGACCAGGCCACCTCCTTGTGGAAGGAGAGGTTATAGGCCTCACTGGAGAAGAGAGTGCAGTTGTATTGTTAGATGGATGTGATGGGCCTACTAAAGTACCATCCAAGCATTTGTATTTATGCCCATGTCCTATTATAGCAGTTACTGTTTACATGTTCTTTCTCTTTGCAGTTTATGTTTTTATAGTAGATGGAATGCTACTAAATTGAGCCATCAGCCCATAATAAACAGAGGATGCAGAGATTTGAAGAGTCCAGTGCCCTATTACAATGGGAGGAAAGGTCGCCTCACCCTTTCTGAGGCTCAGGGTATTCATGGAAGAGGCAGGTGGAAAGTTTTGTAAGGGCCGGAGGAAGGGATGGAGTGTGACATGGATGTTCCTTTGACCCTGTGATGACAAGCCATGGACTGCCCTCTTCTCATGCTCTTCAAAGAATCTCCCCTTCCCTCTTCCAGCCAATCACTTGACCAATAGCCTCTTGTAAGGGAGGAGGTAAGAGTACAAAAGCTGGGAAAACTATGAGTCTGGTCTCTCACCATTTTGTAAGTCTTTCCAGAGCAACAGGAGTTATATCTGGGTGTGGAATTTCAAACATAGCTGTGAATGGAGGGCCCTGCTTGTTTTTAAGTAAACCTCACTGCAAGATCAGCTATCAAGTCCAATAAACTCGGTAAGATTCTTCAAACCGGGTTTTGGAGAATTTTTTTTTCAGGCTGTTGCAAGGACCATGGGAGGAAGTGATTGGATGCCACGTGCAGTGAATTTGACTTACACCATTATAAGAAGCATGTGGTAGCCTTATAAGAAGCATGTGGGAGTTTTTCATTTGAATATGACTTAAAGCAGATTCACAAGTTTACCAATGAAGTCATAAAAAGGAAGGCAGGATAAGCATTGTTATGGAACTGTATAAATCTTAGAAATTCATACATACACTATCCGTAATTATTAAGGAAAAGAAAGCATCATCCTCCAAAATTATTTAAAAGCCAGTCATGTGCCTACATAAAACCTACATATGGAATTTAGATCATAGAGTTAAAATGAACAAAGCACACTTCATTTACTTAGAAACTATGCTAAAATTGTAAAAATTTAGCCAACACATAACACATAGCATTTATATATCAGTCACAGCAGAACAAACGTATCAACAAGAATCAATGAAAGCATCTACAGGGAAGTTAAGCATTTTGACTTTTAATAACTGGTAAATTATAATTTTCCCCCTCATATTTTTCCCAACATATTTGCTTTACTTTCCAAAAATAAATTCATGAGACTTAATCATTGTTTTACATTTACATGATAGATGAACACAGAACATTTATAAGAAATATGCCATTTACTAAACACACAATCTTTTAAAATATTTATAAGACATATTCAAAAATGTGTACATGTATTTATATAAATTATATTTAAGCCCATTCTACCATAAGGGCTAACTGCTAAGATAATGTACATATTGAGGTATACATAAAGACTCACCTCCAATATCATCTTCCTTCCTGTACTGTAAGTCTTTAAATTAGTGGTGTTTTTAGCTGGCAAAACCAGTTTCTCTTTTCTCCAATGGATTGATGCTGGTGGATTTGATTTCACATCACAACTTATATTGATTGGATTTCCTTCCCAAGAGTAATAAATCGTCTGATTTGAAACGAACTTAGGAGCATCTGTAAGATAATATTATTAGAAAATAGACAGACATTATAATATAAGTCCTTTAATTAATATAAATGTTACCAATTTGTATTTGGCTATAAAAGGAACTCACATTTCTAGTTTTATGCTTTCATTCTTTTTTTTTTTTTTTTTTTTTTTTTTTTTTTAGACAGGGTCTCCCTGTAGCCCCAGCTGGCCTGGAACTCACCATGTAGGTCAGGCTGACCTTGAACTCACAGAGATCTGCCTGCCTGTGCCTCCCAAGTGCTGGGATTAAAGGCACACACCACCATTTTATGTGATATTAAGACTCATGAACATCCACATTTTTGTCTTTAATCACAAATTTAAAATTGCAAATATGAGAAAGATCTGAATTATTAAAACAAATAATATTCAGATTTAAATTTAATCATAACAATCTAACAAAAAATAATTGATTAGAATTAATGAATATATATATTGGAAATATTTCTGGAAAAATCCACATTATGGAGTGAGTGCTTAGAACACAATTTAGTAAAAGTGAGACTTGCTACTATTGTGACCTAATTTTTTCCTAGTCACAAAAATCTTTCTATAAATATTGTGAAGGAGGTACGAAATCTTATTTGAAATGACAGCATACACATTGTTCAAGCTTTCTTTCATCCCTACAGTAATTTTGACAACATCTTAATGCTAATTTCTGTTAAAAAATACTCTTTCAGAGTTAATATGTGCGACTGCATAATTTCTGTGTCTTGCTATTTCACTTAATCTAAGGATCCATTATATTCTCTTATGTATTTACTAGACTAAATTCATTCATCTGTTAACAAAACAGATTTTTTTCCCGATTTCCTGGTCCCTCAGGTAAAGTTCTATCCATGGACCTGAGAGCACAGAAGGTTCTTCTATATACTGATTTCACTCCCGTTTGAACTATATTCAGCAGCTGAACTGATGACCAGATGGATTTCCAGCTTTAAGGTATTTCTCTCCAGTTTAATGTTGCAACTCCTTTCTGTTATCTATAAAGCCTGCTTTAATTTACCTTCTTACTCCAAAATGGAGAAGGGCTCCCTTTACTTCGTGTCTTCTGGATCAAACATCCTGTTTTATGAGAACCTGATTATAGCTATTCTCATTGAGGTGATTTTGTATTTTCTTGAGGTTTTTTTTTTGTATTGTTTCCTAATTATTACTAATGTTGAGCATGTTTTCTTTAGAAATATCAGTTTGGTTTCATGGTGTATTTCAAACTCAGTTTGAGTATTTTTATCCCTTTATTTTGTTTGTTCTTATACATAGAGGATATCAATCATTCCTCCCTGTAGCGCCAGCTGTCCTGGAACTAAGTAGACCAGGCTGGCCTTGAACTCACAGAGATCTGCCTGCCTCTGCCTCCCAAGTGCTGGGACTACAGGTGTGCCACCTCACCCGGCTAATTTTCTTTTTTAATATTTTATTTATTTATTTTTTTACATGTATGTGTGTATTGCCTGCATGTAGGTAAGTGCACCCATGTCATGCAATGCCCACAGAGGACAGAAGAGGCTACCTGATCCCCTAGAACTGGAATTCCAGAGAGTTGTCAGCAACCAAGTGGATACTGGGATTTGAACCCGGGTCTTCTGCAAGAACAACCAGTGTTCTTAATGGCTGAGCTATCTTTCCAGCTTCCTTCCTCTAATTTTCAAAGATTTTCTTCTGATCATAATTTTGATCTTCATTCTTTTCATTGCTTCTGTTGTTGTACAGAAACTTTTTTAGTTACTTGTAATCTCATTTTTCTCATTGTGTCTTGCTTTTTTTGTTTTCATCTGGAATTTTATCCGAAGAATCAGTGTTTGATCTGCTTTTGATCTGCTTTTCATAATTTTATATTTTCAAGTATTGCATCTATTTATTGAATTAGTTTGGAATTTTTTTATTTAAATGTATTCTTCGACAGTTTCATGTATGTCCAGACCACCCTAGCCCTCCTCTTCTCCAGCTCCCTGTCCCCTCGTCTACTCCCTTCTTTCCTACAGAACTCTTTCTCATATTCATGTCTATTTGTTGTATTTTCAGATCCACTGTATTCATCAGCACCATCTACATAAACAAAGGGATGAAGTTATGTGTTGAAACCTGGAGCTCATCCACCATAGACAGTGAATTCCATCTTTCTCAGAATCTATCAGCAGCCAGTAGTTATAGAGTAAGAAGTAGAGTCCCTTGTGTACCTCTTGCTCTAGTGGCTTATATTTGACTGCCCCCATCTCATGCCAGTCCAACGCAGACAACCACCATTGTTGTGTACATGACTGCAGAGGCTGATCTGCAGGTAAATATCCAGTTTCCTAAGGACATTTAATGAAAATATTGTCCTTTCCATAGTGCATGTTCTCAGCACTTTTATCAAAATTGGATTTCTGTAAATGTGTAGGTGGGTATGTAAGCTCTCTACTCTGTTTTACACACACACAGACACACACACACACACACACACACACACACAAAGACACACACACACATATCTGTTTTTTATAAAAATAAATGCTGACTTGAATAATACAGTATTTTTGAAATAAGTAGAATAAAGATTCCTGCTTAAGTCTTTGTCTGAAGATGTCTTATTATATTTGAAAGATATATTTGCAGTTCTGTAAAGATTTTAGGAAGATATGAACTTCTAGTAAAGATGTAGTTTATTCTAATTTCATTAAATGTGTATAGCACCTTGAGAAATATGGTAATTTTAATACCTCTGATTGTTTCAGTCCATAAGCAGGAAAATACATTCTATAGTTTTGAGGCACTCCTAATTTCATTTTTCAGTGCTGTGTAAAAATTTGTTACAGGACTATTACACTTATTTAATTAAATAATTTCTAGATATTTATAGATATCATAAATTACATAGTTTTAATATTTATTTTTAGAGTACAATGAGTTTTAACAGTGCTTTCTTGCTGTTTTTGTGATAACTCATCATTTGAATATTATAGCACCATTGAACTTACAGATTTTTGCATCCTACAACTTTTCTGAATTAGTTTATTAGTTCTATTAACTTTTTATGGATATTTGAGGGCTTTCTATCATTTCAACCTAGGTTTTTATAACAAAATATCTTGTTTTTTAAGAGGAGTTGTAAACACAAAAGAAACCCATCAGCGATGGACTAACCAGAAGTACTATCTAAAATGCCAGAACACACTATTAAAATCAGTCACATGACCACACAAATTATACAGAGGGAGGACAAGGGAAATAAATACAGTGGGTTAAAAATACATGTAAGAAAATGGCTTTCATGTTACATTTAAAGACATATAGTGACTACCATACACATACATATATATGTAACATATCTACACATAAATACACAAATCATATATGATAATATATATGTATATCTCCAACCATTCTTCTCATAAGAAATTCAATTCATCACTTCATCTCTAAGACATCCTGACTACAAGTGAAGGGATGGGAAAAGACAATGAAAATGAAATTACAATGAAAGCAAGTACACATGTTTGTAGATAAATAAGGCTTTTGAAACATTTATTAAAAAGATAAGAGGAAATCGTTATACAATGATAAAGAGTCAATTGAGTAAGTGGAAAGTCAATTCTTAATATGTACGCCACAAATATTGGAACATGCATATACATCCAAGAAATATTGGACCCAAAATGGACAGGTACAGTACAATACAATAAATTTAATAGATAAGGACTTGAACATTTCAATTTCAGTAATAAACAGAGCACCTGAAGAAGAATTATAAACATAAACCACAAAGGTAAATTTGCTCAAGCCCAACAGAATCTAGCAGGCATGCAACAACACAGCATCCAGTCAGTACCTGCAGAATACAAACTCTTCTCATTTGCACATGGGGATTTTCCAGAGGGATCACGTAATGTACTACTAAAATCCTGAATTGTTTAAATCAAAATCTCATAAAACAGTTTTAAAGTTGGATGAAACAAATGGAAAAGGAGATGTGATGTAGTAAATCATACAGGGTATTGGTGATATAATTATTAATAAGAGTAACAAGGAACGTTACCGAAATCAATGCTTTTTTCATAAAAGTAGAACTACTCTAACAACCTATTACCACAACTAATGGAAACAAAATGTAAGAACAAATGAAATAAAAAATTACTGCTGAGGTATAGTCTAATGTAGAGCCTAAAGAAGCAAGATTGGAACTAGAAAATAAAGACAACCAGTAAAATGAAAATGATTTTTTTGAAAACACAACAAAGTAGTTAAGTTCTCAGTCTACAAAAAAACACTAAAGGACTTTAGAAAAGAAAAAAAAAAAAGGAAACCTACCACTATAGAAGCTTCTTAAAGAATATAAATATATATTATAAAAGGAGATTAAAAGAAGTTAACATATAACAGAGAGACACTGTCCTACTAAACACCATGGCTGAGAAAGTAAGTCTAATGCCAGTCATGGGCAACCTCTTTTGAAGCAGTTGACCAGGATTTCCACTGACTCTTACACAATATTGACCACCACCCCTGCTCTTGGTTAGCCACCAAAACTTGATGGTAGGGCCCTATTGCTAATGAAACTATGGCATGAGCTATAGAAAAACAAGGAAAACTCAATCTGGCAATGATTTCAAAGCTTTGTCTCTATATCCTAGCTTTCAAACTACTAAAAAGTGTTATGCATACTAGAAAAAATATCATTAACTTTACCAAGCTGTGAGTCCTGCATGCTTCAACAGGATTTGCTTTCACAAGATATGTGCACTTATAATAAGGGCATGAATATTGTGGGATTAACCAACAACTATCTAAAAATTTTTGAGTTTTGCCTCTTAATATCGATCCCATACCTGACACTTATATCAGGCCTAGGAGCATGTGGCTAGCAGGCCACAGGACATAGGGGAGTGCCTAATACTATTTTCAAATAAATATAATATTAAAGTGGTTTCTAAGATTTATTACTATACCCAAATAAACTCTTCTTCCTATACCTTCCCTTGTTCACATTGTTTTCTCAAGC